ATTATGACCATATTACAGAGAAAGTTTGATGTGGAAGATTTGTTAGCTCTGATGTAATGGCATGTTTAGGAGGAAAGTAGTTTTGGCAATATTATATGGCAGCAACATGCATGGTGCACTGGAAAAAGGAAGAAACCAGGAACCAGAAGTCTGTGTGATCAGCACATGCAGAGGAAATAAAGGCCCAGACTCAGGGTGTTGCTGTGGAGATGGAGAGCAGATGGTAAATTTGACAGGCATTATAAAGAGTGAAATTTATTCTTCTATTCAATAAATATTTATTGGCTCTTGCTATATGTTACTTATGCTTAAAATATCTGGACTGAAATTTGTGTGTAATTACTAATACAATTTAAAAACTTTAAAATTATGTTACATAATTTTTATTTGAAAAAAATTTTTAAAAAATGTTGAACCACTGACTCATGTGTTATATTAATGTCAGTAAGAAGTGCTCATCTTAGTGCCATGGTCCCCAGAGATCTCACCATTCTGTCTGCTCTTATCTAAAAGAAATCTAATTTGTCAATAAATTGTACATGATCTTAGGCTATTTGAATGCTAGCTCAAAAAAAAGGGAGAATTTTGCAAAGAATCCTTTAGAAATCCAAGAGCAGTAACGGCTGGCCTCATGTTTCACAGCATTGTGTTTGCTGTGTTCTTTTGGTCAACACGGTTGTTAAAAAATAGTTCTTCCTAACTTCTCTTATTAGAGTCTAAATCAGATATCCTTTCTCTGGACAAATATTCTTCTGAAGTCCTGGAAGATCTGAGAAGAATAAGAAGATGGGAAATGAGATGAAAGAACTTCTTACCTTCTAATTCTTCTAGCTTTTCCAACAGAAACACACTGGGCTGTTTGCCATAGCACATTGATATCCCTACATGATCTTATTTGTCCTTGCGGTAGGCAAAAGACGCTTTAGGCAAAAACTATTTTATTGAGTAAAAACCTATGTTCTGTTCTTGATAACCAGACACTTGTTTTGTGATTTTAGTCTTTGGAAAGACTTCCCAAACATCTCTTTTTGGCCCTATGCATTATATTACTTCTGGTGCATTGAGAGGCAGCCTTATTCACTTGATGACCCAGGTAGGCAGTGTGGCATCAGCAACACTTCTTTTTAAGTGGCAGCACAGATACCCTCCTCCTTCACAGTTGATTGGTCAGTTTCTAACCAGCAAAATCCTAAAATCAAATTAATTTTATTCTGTAACATAATCTGAACATTTCTCTTTGCTCTATTTTCCTGAAATTCACCTAAGAATTCTTGATAATCTGCTGGTACTGCTTAATTTAACTACAGCAATGGCGTCATTGCATAGGAGAGAAGTTAAAAATTTCGTGATGTGTCACAATCCATTTATAGAAATTTGGTTGCTCTATAAATTTATAGAAACTAGATTTTCATAATGATAGATAAAGCAAATGGTTGTAAAAAGTTGTATAGTAGTTTACAGTTAGGACTTAATGATGAAGGGGATGATGTAAAATAATAGTAGGAATAAGGACATTTTTAGAGTTTTACAGTGAAAGTTACAAGTACTTTAAAAATATTCTTATAAGATAATTATAATGTGGCCGGGTGCGGTGGCTCACGCCTGTAATCCCAGCACTTTGGGAGGCCGAGGCGGGTGGATCACAAGGTCAACAGATCGAGACCATCCTGGTCAACATGGTGAAACCCCGTCTCTACTAAAAATACAAAAAATTAGCTGGGCATGGTGGCGCGTGCCTGTAATCCCAGCTACTCAGGAGGCTGAGGCAGGAGAATTGCCTGAACCCAGGAGGCGGAGGTTGCGGTGAGCCGAGATCGCGCCATTGCACTCCAGCCTGGGCAACAAGAGCGAAACTCCGTCTCAAAAAAAAAAAAAAAAAAAAAAAAAAAGATAATTATAATGTTATATGTCTCTGATGACAACACTAAAAGATAAACTTTGGTAATTGGTTATTAAGATTAATAACATAATGTGGGAATTGAAGAATAAGATATTTGACTTAGAAAGGTTTTATTGGCCAGGTGCAGTGACTGATACCTGTAATCCCAGCATTTTGGGAGGCCAAGGCGGGCAGATCACCTGAGGTCGGGAGTTCGAGACCAGGCTGACCAACACTGAGAAACCCCGACTCTACTAAAAATACAAAAAAATTATCTGGGCGTGGTGGCACATGCCTGTTATCCCAGCTACTGGGGAGGCTGAGGCAGGAGAATGGCTTGAACCTGGGAGGCATATGTCCTCAGTCTATTGAGTATAAACATAGGTAGAATTTCTGGGCTCATCGAGTATATGTGTGTATCCTCAAGTTTAGAGGACCTTGCTGAAGAATTTTCCAAGATATTGTACCAGTTTGCATTCACATTAGCTGTGTCTGAGTGTTAATTGCTCCATATCTTTTTCAACACTTGATGTGATCTGTCTTGTATTTTAGCCACACATATGTATGTGTGTGTGTGTGTTATGGTGTTTTTTTTTTTGTTTTTTTTTTTGTCAAGACATCATTGCTTTGGATTCACTGTGGGTTTTAACTGATGTGTCCCTGATGACTAACACAGTTGAGCGTGTTTCATGTGCCATTTCCATATGAGTAAGTGATGGTCTTGTTTTTCCTACAAGATTGTCTACCTTTTTCTTAATAATTTATAAGAGTTCTTTATATATTCTGGATATGAGACTTTTGTCATACATATGAATTGCAGATATCATCTGCCACTCTGTGGCTTTGCCTTTTCATTCTCCTAGCGGTATCCTTTAGTGAGTAAAAATTCTTACTTTCCAGAAGTCCAGTTTATCCTTTTTCCCTCCTTGTAATTAGTGCATTTGTGCCTCTTGTTTAAGAAACCTTTGCCTAAGCCAAGATTATGAAAGTACTATCTTGCATTTTCTTCTAAAAGCTTTATGGTTTACTGTTCACAATTAGATCTGTGATCCAACTGAAACTGTTTTTTGCATACAGTATGACCTGGGGTGTCACGGTTCTTTTTGTCCTCTCCATGTAGCTATACAGATAACCTAGTCACATTTATTATAAAGATCATTCTTTCCTCACTGAATTGCAGTGCCATTTTTGTCATAAATCAGGTGACCATGTATGTGTGGGTGTTTCTGGCCACTCTACTCTGTTCTATTGGCTGTTTTCTGTCCTTCTGACAGTGCCACCACTGGCTTAATTACTATAGTTTTTGGTAAGTTTTATAGAAACCTTTGCTATCGGAAGTCCAGGTCCCACAGCTCTGTTGTTCTTCAAATTGTCCTTAACTGTTCTTGGTCCTTGGTATATTCCTCTTGCTTTTTTTAATTTTTAAAAAATTAACCTTAATTTTAACTGGAGAGTTACTTTGAAGTTTTGTAGAAATTTTACCTCCTTAGTTCTGTGTAACTTGATGTAGTGTGGTTCTGATATATTAGATAAACAGTGAAATTTATACAAAAGAAAATGTTTGTGCATTTATATTGGCTTTGCTTCACAAATATGCATAGCAGGATAAAATGAAGTAGATACAGGCAGACAGAAAATAAGTGTAAGACAAAGAGAATCAGTTATGAAACTCACAGTATCCATAATATAAAAACAAACAAGTTACTACAAAGGAGAAGTTTTCCTGGGACTGAAAACTTAAGATGTGAATTTTCTACTCTGTTGGCTTTTAAGGAAGATAAATGTGATCTAGCAGTGCTTTGGTAACATGATTTCAAAGCCCAGTTTATCCAGACAGTTCTGTCATTCCATATATGTGGTTTTCTGTTAGTCTGACTTGATCCAAGGAGAAAATGGGCTATTTTTTATTTTAAAAATAAAATGCATATTACTCAAGTAATCTTTTATGAGTGAATGAATGAATAAATGACAAAAAAATTTTAACCATTTTTAAAATAAGAATTAGACAGCAGGAACTTTAGAATGTATCTTTGATAAGAACCTGTGTTGTTCATTAAGGTATATCTGGATACTTTGATAGACAGCTGAGCAGAGTTTATAAAAATTAGTAATAATAATAATATTGCATAGTAATAATACTTTGTTGCCAGGAACTGAAATAACTGCTTTTATTTACATTTTAAAATGTATTACAATAACTCCTTGCAAATAGGTACTATCATTATTCCTATTTCACAGATTAAAAAAAAAGTAAGGCAAATATCTTGCCCAAGGTTATACTGCAAGTAAGTAATAGAATCAGAATTCATTTCTGGCTACTCTACCTCAGTTTCTACTGCATTATAATGCTGATGAAAATTAAGAAGCCTAATGAAGGATTTGTGACTGAATTTGGAAGTTAGGAAATTCAGATAGAGCTCAAGTTTACTGTCAGGAAATAGTTTCCAAGTCTACTCCCATACAAATGCATGGGTAAAGAAAAATACATTGTATTTTGGCAAACATTTTGCTTGAGATAAAACAATTCTGCATTTCCTCTAACTTGTTTCTTTAAATTTGTACTTAAGTAAATCCCAATCTTCTGAATAACTATTGTCAAATATGGTCATTTTGAATATTGTCCCTTTTACTTTTTAAAAAATGAATATTACACTTTCAAGAAACCAAATGGCTTGCCTAGTTACTGCTGTAAAGAACTGAAATGTAAGCAAATTAAATTACTTTAATGCTTTCTATAAAGTCAATTTTGGATGCATGTCTTCTTATATTTTCACATTTTTGAAATATTTTCTGACTTATTTTAAAGATAAATGTTCTTTTTGAAATGATTTTATTGAAACTAGGGGAAAATGTCCATTATGTTTTGCAGCTGGCATTCCCGAAAACTAAATGAAAATTGCAGAGCCAATTTAGTCGTGTTATGATATTTATACTTTTGTCAAAATTCTTGCATTTTAAGGCTTGTTTGTGCACATTGGTTTTGAAATGAATTTAGTAATTTATGTTTGAAACTCATTTCATAAATATAAAGTAACAACTCTATGGGATTATCTCTGTTCATAGTAATCTGACTAAATAAAATGTATTGAAACCGTTAACATTTTTCTATGTTAATTTTCAGGTTGAAGGTTTAGAACAGATGTGGAAAGATGTTTACTTCAGAGAAAGGAGTTGTGGAGGAATGGTTGTCAGAATTTAAGGTAACATTTACTGTTGTACTGTAGTAATTATATTCCAAAGAAGTTTTATCTGGGGTTTAAATTCCAGTGATTTTTGCATTTTATATGACTGAAAGGCTAAATATCTGTGGGAAGAAATATTTTCTATCAAATCTCAATAGAGAGTTATTAACATAGTAATCTTTTCTGGGAAATTGATTCTTTTTTTCTCCCAAGTAGTTCAAAGAGTTTGTTTGTTTGTTTATTTTCTTTCTTTCATGGAAATACCACAAAGTAGTTAAAATCTCTGAATGTTGATGTCACTCTTCAACAACCATCATTGTCAAAATGTTTCTTCCAATTTGAAGGGCAGTGGAACTGGGCGTGACCAACAATGAGGAGAAGATGGGAAGATATTTGCTCTACTTTATAGCAGTGGATCTTTCTCTAGTTGACTAACCCAGTAGCTGTATAAGGGGTGTATAACCTTTGATTAGTTAATGAAGAAAATAAAATTTATATTTTCTTATCTCATGAACCTTTCTCTAGAATAGCTAAGACACTGTTTCTTAAATCAAGCTAATTACTTTTCTCTGTCCTTATGTGACACATAATTACATGCACTTGTGTGATTATGAACCACAAGAATAAAGAGTTTTTAGGCTGCAGCTGTCACTTTGATTTTGTCCAGCCCGATCAGCCCAAGACCTTTAGGGATAAAGTTACAGTCTGACAAAGTCAGGGTTATTGGCTTTTTGCAAGTGAGAGAGTTTGCCCAACAGATACCATGGGACCATCTCACCAAACTAAAGAAAAAATATACTTATAGTAATTTGGAGGAAAGGTAGAGTTTAGGTGAAATTTAAATGAAATGTTATCCTGGTAGGCTCAAAACAAAACAAAACAAAAAAGCAGAGCTGTATATAATGGGGTGAACATTTGGTCTGGCCTTCAAAGTAGAGATCTTGTTGTCTTGAAAACTACAAAGTTAACATAGATTTGAAATGTTGTGTTTAGAAACTCCGTGTTTATATGTCTGCACATGGGTTGAAAATCAAGGCTGCTTCTCTTTTTTTTTAAGAGGCGAGGTCTCGCTATGTTGCCCAGGCTGGAGTGCAGTGGGTATTCACAGGCGCGATCCCACTACTGATCAGCACAGGAGTTTTGACCTGCTCCATTTGCGACCTGGGCCGGTTCACCCTTCCTTAGGCAACCTGGTGGTCCCCCGCTCCCAGGAGGTCACCATATTGATGCCGAACTTAGTGCGGACACCCGATCGGCATAGCGCACTGCAGCCCAGAACTCCTGGGCTCAAGCAATCCTCCCACCTCAGCTTCCCGAGTAGCTGGGACTACAGGCACGCGCCACCGCGCCCGGCTCAAGGCTGCTTCTCTATGTCAAAGTGACTTAGATGCTCTAGGCAGGAGTGGAATGTTTTGTTCTTACTGATATGTATTCAACAACAAAGTTTTTTATCATCTGTGATTTTAGACAACAAGGCCTCTTAGTGAGTAAGAATTTAATAGTCACTAAAAGAAGATTGTTATGACATTTTTCAGTTGCAGTGTATATTTAGGAAAAGCACTGTTTCCTGTTAATTTTACAGCTGGCTTTATCTGTCTCTTTTATCTAATCCTGATAAATAGCTGGGCAGACTTTTACTTTCTCAGCTTTTATAGTCATGAATTGAGCATCCTTCTGTGAATTCCCTAAGTCATCATGAAGTGACGTAGAATGTTACAGAAGTGCTTTCTACATTTTTTAGTAGTTTGTAGTTTGCGGTCAGATGTGGTAGCTCATACCTCTAATCCCAGCACTTTGAGAGGTGAAGATGGGAGGATCACTTAGCCCAGGAATTCAAAGATGCAGTGAGCTATGATGGCACCACTGCTGTCCAGTCTGGTGACAGAGCGAGACTTTTGTCTCTAAAAGAAAAATAAAACAAAAAAACCTTTGATTAAATCTTATATGTGTATTTTAACAATTTTTTTCTCTTTTTCTCTTTTTATTTTTTTTATTTTTTATTTTTATTTTTTTTATTTATTTTTTTTTTGAGACGGAGTTTCGCTCTTGTTACCCAGGCTGGAGTGCAATGGCTCGATCTCGGCTCACCGCAACCTCCGCCTCCTGGGTTCAGGCAATTCTCCTGCCTCAGCCTCCTGAGTAGCTGGGATTACAGGCACGCACCACCATGCCCAGCTAATTTTTTTGTATTTTTAGTAGAGACGGGGTTTTACCATGTTGACCAGGATGGTCTCGATCTCTTGACCTCGTGATCCACCCGCCTCGGCCTCCCAAAGTACTGGGATTACAGGCTTGAGCCACCGCGCCCGGCTCTTTTTCTCTTTTTAAAGAGGCAGGGTTTCACCATATTGGTCAGGCTGGTCTCGAACTCCAAACCTCAGGTGATCCACTCACCTCAGCCTCCCAAAGTTCTGGGATTACAGGCATGAGCCACCACACCTGGCCCTGTGTCGTTTTTTTCTGCGTATATTATCTTTGTGTTTGAAATAGTCTGTTATCATGGCTTTTTTTGGCAGATTGATGGAAATTGACAATTTTAACAATTGAGTGCTATTTCTTCTAGGGCATTCTTATGTTTAATGATGTACTAAAATATGCAAAAGCAAATATAGCCAGTTATCCATTCTTTAAGATGGGAGTTGTGGAAAGAGGGAATGCTAAAAGGTTGGTTGTAGGGGTAAGATCAGCTGTTAAGGTAAATAATGAAAAACCATGACTGATTTCCTTCCCTTCCCATCTGTTCACTTACTCGTTTCCCCTCCTGGTTTGCATATATGGACACCTAGGAAGTGCAGTAATGAGGAGGGCCAGAGCAGCGGTTATTGGCAGTAGAGTCTGAGGAAGCAGGTGGTTGGTGTAAAGGGTTGCAGAGATGGCATGTCGAAGAGTAGCCAGAGTAGTTACATTGGTAGATTGGTTACATTGAGCAAATAAGTTAACTGAACAAATAAGTAAAATTTTGAGGATAATGGGAGTTAGATTTCTGTCTGTCTGAAAAAAGGAATTACAATCATGGAATAGGGAAAGGCAAGAAAGAACTCTAAGGTGTTGTATTGGAATTATTATGAACTCATGGGTTCCAAGTATGTATATGTATATATGTGTGTGTGTGTGTGTCTGTATATATATGGATACATGTATCTCATAGCTTTGTTCACTGGGAGGACCTAGAAACAATGGCACCCCAGTAGCAATGAGAACCCTAAGCACCCAGATCTTCTTTTCCAAATACCATCTTCTGCTACAAGAAAGCAGAGAATGAATAAATAGAAAGTATTAAGAAATATTTTATCAATATAACATTATATGGGTAGTAGTATTTTATTAGCATTTTAAATAAATTTAATGCAAGCATAGGAAACTTTTCCTTTAGGAGGAGGGAGTGAAATCTTGGCCTGCAGGAAATAAAATGTAGTTTAAGTAGTTTTTCCTACCCAACCCCAAGATTAAATTTACCCACTTTTGAGTCAGTTTGATATTCAAATGTTTTAAATTATCTTCAAATCTGTGTTATAGCCAATCAAGAAAGGGTATCTCCTATTCCTTGGTTAATTTGGTAGGCATTCCTGAGAATTATTTTGAGTGCTATTCTAAATTGGGTTAATGTGTGTTGAATTCAGCTCTATGTTTGACAAAGAGAAGTTTATCAGGCAAAATCAGCAGCATATCAGAGGTAATGGAATATAGAAAAGTGCTTGGGAACATGTCTACTAAGTACTTTTAAAATTAGAGTAACGTATCTTTTGAAATCTCTGATCTTAAAGTACATATTTTTGTTCAAATATTTCAGAAAGGAGGTTTTAGTTACATACATATTTCTAGAAAAGCTTCTGCTTGGTTTGTTTTACTAACCATGATGCTAATAAGGCTAAGTCATCATGATTGATTAAGTGAGCTGAAAGTCAGAAATCCTTTGATTTAATTCTAATTCTCCTCCTAGGTGGTTTTATGATGTTGGGCATAACTATCCTGGGTCTCATATTTTCGTCAGAAAAGTTGAAGTACTCTAAGTGGTTTATGAAGATGGTTTTTGGCTCTACACTGTTCCATGGTCACAATCTGAACTCCTAACCTCATTCAACATCTCTCAAATGTGTAGAGATGACACAATTTGCTTTGTGCAAATATTTTATTTAAAATTTTTGAAATTCATGGCATAATCATTGAAATAACAAAAAAAAAAGAAATTTTGAAACTGAAAATTTGGTAAAGTTGTTCAGCATCTGTTCTAGTTATGGACTCTCAGTATTTTCTTTTTTTTAAATTTGAGACAGGGTCTCCCTCTGTCACCCAGGCTAGAATGCTGTGGCACAATCTTGGCTCGCTGCAACCTCTACCTCCCAGGTTCTAGTGATTCTCATACCTCAGCCTTCTGAGTGGCTGGGATTACAGGTGTGCACACCACACCCAGCTAATTTTTGTATTTTTAGTAGAGATGGGGTCTCTCCATGTTAGCGAGGCTGGTCTCAAACACCTGGCCTCAAGGGATCTGCCTGTCTTGGCCTCCCAAAGTGCTGGCATTACAGGCATGAGAAACTGCACCTGGCCTATTTTTTTTCTACATGAACTAAATGATTAGTCCAGGATTTCATTATCTTAAGATTTCATGAATAGTTTAGGATTATTTTATTTACTAGTTCTTCACCCATCTGTCCATCTTCGTTAATTCTCTTCTACTCAACCCATGTATCACCTTCTTACATTTTTGAAAAACCGTCTGTCAAATGATGCTTTAGTATGAGGCATCTGTCTTCAATTTTTTTTTTTTTTTTTTTTTTTGAGACAGAGCCTTGCTCTGTCGCCCAGGCTGGAGTGCAGTGGCACAATCTCAGCTCACTGCAACCTCTGCCTCCCAGGTTCAACCAATTCTCCTGCCTCAGCCTCCTGAGCAGCTGGGACTGCAGGCATGTGCCACCATGCATAGCTAACTTTTGTATGTTTTGGTAGAGACAGGGTTTCACCATGTTGGCCAAGCTGATCTCACCCTCTTGACCTCGTGATCCACCTGCCTTGGCCTCCCGAAGTGCTGGGATTACAAACATGAGCCACTGCGCCTGGCCTCAAATTTTGCCAAGAATAATATACCAACATAATTTTCCATTATTACTTTTCTTTTTTTTTTTTTTTTTTTTT